AGTGGGACGCCGTGGCCAGCTCGTGGGTCTGGCACATGCTACTGCTCCCTGGCCTCTCCCGACACACGTTTACAAACTTGGTGCCAAGGACGATCTACTGTCTGTACCCTGTCCTCTCGACGCCGCAAGGGCTCTACAGTGTTCTTTATGACGCGCAGTGCTTTACAACTCCTGCTCTATCGACATAGCCTATTACTAGAACCAAACTTGCTAGAACCAAACATGCAGCTACTTGTGGTGCGGCGGCGTGTGCGTCCACCTCGCTACTGCTCATATCACCGAACGCGCGTTGACGCTCGAGCGCAAAAGTAGACAATACGACTACAATCACGATTTGATAGGACGACAGCAAACCGCAACGAGTCGAGTGTCGACGCTTCTTGATTCGTCACCAACCAAATCGAAAGGATGTACAGCTGTACTAGACCTGGCTGATGCCCTGGGAAAGGCGTAGCCGAAACTAACTCAGCACGAGCTTCGCCGTGTATGCAGCATGCACGGTCCATGAAAAGAGAGTGTCAAATGATCCAACGATAGATCATTCGCGGAAGCTGGAGCTTGCTGCGTTTCTTATGAGTAGATCAGTGCCAACGAGAAACAGGGATTAGGTTACTCGCTACATCATACTGCTGTCTTCCGCGTAACGCGGTAATGGCTTTCCCAGCTTACTCAAACAAGTTCTTCATGCCGTGGGGCATCGGAAGCATCGGAAGCGCCGTGTAGTGCGCCGCGCGCACCAGCGTGAATGTCGCCAGCGGAAAGACGCCAGGTGCGCGGGCAAAGTCCTGCATGAAGCGGTCGTACGAGATGTCGCGGAGGCGCTGCCCGAGAAGGAGCCACTCCGTGGGCGTCTCCGGCATCACCATGACGTGGCCGACGCGCTCGATGCCAAAGCAGAGGTACGCCATGAGCTCGTCGAGCAGCTGATCGTGCGTCACGCGGTCCATCGTCTTCATGGAGGACCAGTGCGGCACCGCGTTGGTCATCACCTTGAGCGCCTGCGCAATGTGGCTGATCGACGCTTCGTTCCACGAGATCAAGAGCACGTCGCTCGACCCGAGGTCGTGCTGGAAGATGTACTCCTCGACCTAATGCAATAGTTCAATGGGATTCCTGGCTTGTGTAGACCTACCTCGTTTTGCACGACGCGGAAGTCGTGCGTGGCGGCAATCTTGTCTTCGCAGTCGAGGCGGTCGACGTTGTTGTTCGGGTCCATGCCCAAAAGCGCGTCGATCATATACGCCTTGCTCATGCGGCGCTTCTTGCTCTTGACGTGGTGCGTCTTGGCAAGCTTCAACACTTCGTAGTACGTCATGTTGTTGAGCACATCACGGTCGTGGGCGGGGTTGAGCGACATGATCGAAACGGAGCAAAATCAGATCTGACGTCAAACCGCCGAAGCAGCAGCTCCAACGGTGTCTTGCATGGTTGGGACAGGGCGCCCTTTCCTGTTGGTTTCTTCTCGAACAGGCCAAGTCCATGGGACGCAGTAGGGACTGCGGGACGCGGCGTCGACCAACGGCTTCAAGTTGAGCACTTCTTCAAGTTGATCATGGATCCGAATGGGTCTAGAAGGAACACGCAACGGTATCAATGGCGCAGCCCGTGACTATCCTCTGTGCATAATAGCAAGCGATATGCCATGTCTATCATGTACTCGAACAGCGTATGCTCCAGCTGCTGGCAACTCGCGGGTGCGCCAGAGCAGTGTCCGGCACCGAACGATCGGCTGACCGCGGTGGAGCTCGTTCGCACGATTCGCCAGTAGCTGCAAGTATCACTATATCCGCCTCTAGGTCTGGGAGGCTTAGTCTTGCATCGACGCAATGAACGATATCCTATCACTCGTACGTTGTGCTGCAAGTATGGCAAAATGAGCAAGTGGAAATACCACCCAGTGTCAGTGATTAGGGTTACTCCTTGCAGCAAGCTACTGATAACAGCTTACTCAAACAAGCTGTTGGCGCCAAATGGCATCGGAAGCATCGGAAGCGCCGAGTAGTACGCCGCGCGCACCAGCGTGAATGTCGCCAGCGGAAAGACGCCGGGCACGCGGGCAAAGTCCTGCATATAGCGGTCGTACGAGATGTCGCGGAGGCGCTGCCCAAGAAGGAGCCACTCCATGGGCGTCTCCGGCAGCACCATGACGCGGCCGACGCGCTCGATGCCAAAGCAGAGGTACGCCATGAGCTCGTCGAGCAACTGATCGTTCGTCACGTGGGCCATCGTCTTCATGCTGCACCAGTGCGGCACCGCGTTGGTCATCACCTTGAGCGCCTGGACGATGCGGTTGATGGACGAAATGTTCCACGAGATCAAGAGCACGTCGCTCGCCCCGAGGTCGTGCTGGAAGATATACTCCTCGACCTACAGCATATCCATATAAAAGATGTACAAGAAGCTATAAACGACCTCGTCCTGCACTTGGCGAAAGTCGTGCGCCACCGCAATCTTGTCTTCGCAGTCGAGGCGGTCGACGTTGCTCTTCGGGTCCATGCCCA